CGACTTTTTCTCGGGACTTTGCAATGTGTGCTAATACCACGTCGTAATTTTAATAACTGCGCCTCCTCGAGCCCTTTGCGCAGCCAAGGTAATTTCGACAAAATTGTGACTGTAACCCTAATTAAACCGGGTTTACATTCCGCGAGAAGCTGGAGATGGAGTGTACAATGCATCCTAGCCGGAAAAACAGCAACGATCGCCACGAAATCGTGATTAAAAACTGCTTCAAGAAACTGGCAATCAATCTGATCGAATTATTTATTTCGAAACTGCGCGAATAATTTAAGTTTCGGGTGCTTCGATCTTTATATCGATTCGGATTAAAGCAAAGTTTCCAAAGATCAATTATTATTATTACGTAATTTCGAAAAGGGGAAGGTTCCATTTTTCCCGCGAAAACCGACGAGATTTCGTCGAAGGGTAAAAAGTTTTTCGCAACGAAGTGGTAAAAGTCCGAGGAAAGGTTTCTCAAAGATTCGAAATCGAACGATCCTATTTACGGAACTGCGATATCGGGATAGAAATTTCACGTTCCTATTCGCCCGCTGTCTTCGCGACACGGGTACTCGGTTTAGGACGCGTCACATCCATTTCTCGTTCCAACAAGAATCGATTATTTATCAGGAAACACGAGGTTTCGAATTTTCCCTCTGTTAACATCCCCTGGGCGTTGTAAACGTCGGAAAGAATTATTTAGCGCAGCCGCGACATAATTTATACATATATCGAGTTTCAAACTTCTCCTTTCCGCTTCCGATCGAACGAGAATAAACGATTCACGTTCTCGGAAGATTAAAATTCTCGGATAAATATTTTGCTCCGCTAAAATAAAGCCTAAAATAAAGCGAATAATGTACGAAAGTATATTAAAGGAATTTTATAAATTGCTCGTGAACGTATCTTCTCGGAAGGAAGGCGAAAACGATCTACGTGGGTAATATGGCCGTGCAAATAAATCGGAACGAGAGAGGGAATAGGTATTATTTGGGAATCGAAGCGCGTTACACGCGTGGATGGATAATATTAATCCCTGGGAAATGTGGAGAAAAGGACGAAACGGTAGGGTGGGGGGTCCGCCAGGTGACAGGTGATGAGCAGATATCGGCTCTATTCGCAATTTCATCGTTATTTTACGCGATCGGTCTGCCCGTGGCGTGCCCGTTCCGGCTCTATGGTTAAACGTAATTCGACCAACTCGCGAAATTGCGCCGCGGCTTCGAAATGGCCGCCACAGTTATGGCAGATATATCTTCCGTGAAATTATTTACTTGGAATATTTGGAAGAATGACGGTAATATACCTAGATTAAAACCGGGTGGCAACGAAATGGCAACGATATAAAAATGGACGATGTTTTGGAAGGTAACGCGTTACTTTTTTCTATACCCGTGATAAATACTTTTATTTTTATTTATAGTAATTTGTATATATTATTCGTTGAAGAGAAAAAAATGCAAACGATTCTTCGAAAAGTATTAAAAATTTCGTTGGAAAATGGAGTTTTGGTAAACGTACGAGTGAAAATTTGAAAAAGAAACGTTTCGAAAAATGTTATTGGATAATGATAATTTTATCGAATCTCTTTCGTTTCCTTATACGAATATTTTAACGAAAACGCATTCGATCCAGATAAACAACTATTCTCGCATTTATTCAACCGAAACACGTGTGCATTAATTTCACGCTCCATTATGCAACATATTATATCACGTATGACACAATGAAACGTCATTTTATAAATATACAATTTCCACGGATCCTGCGTGATTAATAACGACGAAAAATATCTTGGAGGCGTAAAAGAAGCTACGGCGAAATCTTACGAATCGAATCGAGTATCCTTAATATTGGAGTGATCAGGAGGAAATATCGGCGATGAAAAATGGAAAAACGAAGGAATTGAGAATAATTGACTCAAACTACCGATTACGAAAGTTTTCTCGAACGAAATTATTCTAATTAACTTCCAACGGTAAATTCATCGAGTATTCGATGCGTTCCAACTTGCCACCGAGTTACCACCGTATAATTAGCAGAGTTAGATTAGAATTCTAACAATGGTTAAGATTTAGGCCGAGTCGAAGTATCAAGTTCTCGATACGAAACTTTGATTACGTATACGTATATGTAACGTTGTACGTATAATATTCAATAATATCGGCTACGTAGTTTCCCGAGTTTGCTCAACTTTATTGAAAAAAATAGTAATTTCTACGGATTAACAATTTTCCTCTACCATTTTTACGTCGATTTTTGTATCGATAGATTCGTCTCTTTCCGAATTTTTAAAAAAAGGAAAAAAAATCGAAAGAGGTTAAACGTTTGTTTGAAAGTTGTTCTTCGCCCTTCTTTTCCCCTCTGGAATCTATGCAAACACGCCTGCTACGCATCCGCTAATTTTCGAGCCGCCGCGGGCCAAAGAAAACTTTGGAACGAAATACCGCAAACACTTTTGACACACTTGCTTTGAAACCGTACCGAAGAAATTTGCAATTCGCTACGGACTTTTTATCCTCCGTTTATTCCTTATGAAATTAAAAACGGTTGAAACGACAACCTTGTACACTTTCATAAATTTAAAATTTATCTTTTTCTTTTAATGAACGATTTTCCAGAATTCCGTGTCCATAAGAGAAAACGGGAATGGAGGACTCGAGTATTCGATAGAAAGCCAGAATCCGGGTATTAACGAAGCCGAACGCGATCGGACGATTTGGCGAGGGGGGGTCGCGATAAAGTCGAAAGATAGTTTACGAGAAGCAGGCCGCGAACATTTAATTGGACGAACGTGGAACCGATTGTGGAAGGCAGAGGGGGAGCGGTGACGAGCAACGAATAAAACTTATCAACAAGTCGTTGCACGCGATCGACGGGCCGTGACCGGTTCGATTGGATGGCTGGCTCGATCGCATCGGCCGAATATCGAAATCCCTTGCGCTCGATTAAAAGCACGACGGGCTTTTCGTTCGGAATATCGAGCTCCCCGACTTTGAATCGTCGGACGGGGGTGATTGTAGGGAAACGTTTTCGTTAAAAAAAAAAAAAAAAAAGGAAAAAAAAAGGATACGTCACGTTTCTATGCGTGTCAATCGTTGCGCGGAATTCTTGTTTCTCTCTTCTATTCGTACGTACCAATCGCTCGATCGAATCACTCGGTTTTTCCGGATAGACGTTCTCCACGAGAGAGTTTGTTAACTCGTCGAGGTGGTTCAGTAATTTAATTTGCTTTCAATACGTTGAGTTTCGATAGGAAATTCGCTGCGATCGATTGGCAATTGGTTCTGGTAATAACGGAGGGATTAAATATTAAGGATCGAGGAGAAGGGGGTCTTTTCTGGCAATGAAATTCCCTGTAGCGGAAAATGGAAGGAACGCAAGACTTTACGCGATGGTCGCGTAAGAACTTTGTCGAGAGTTTGAAATTTGAAAGACAAAGAGCAAGTTTCAATTCCCATTTTTCCGCGATAAAGTGCGCCTCGTCGAGAACTTCAAAGGAGCCTCGTGAAAATTGAATAGGAATCGTGGCAACTACGAAACGCGGTATTAGCCGTGTAAAGTTTCCTCGGGAAAAATTATTAAACGAGTTCCGACGAAAAACATTAATCGAAATTGTGTACGATTACGCACGTTGGTGCGTCGCGCAACGAAGAAATCATATTTGAAATTTTATTTTTGATTTTGTTCTCGAAAAATTGGAAATGACATTTTAAAAACTACGATTTTTACCTCCACGAAAAAAAATTCAAATTACACTGGAAATAAATTAACTTTGCGACGTATGACATTACGCTATATGTAAATTTATTCTATATCTATTATATATATTCCAATTGTTATTATTACGTGTACATGCACGGTTATTCGATAAACACTGTATTACGTGTATTATTGTTTTATCACGATGGAACCAATATCAATATACAACTGCTCGAAAATTAATTAAATTGGAATAGCAAAGTGACAGAAATGATATATTCAGGATCCTTTTATCTCCGATTTCTGTTGATAGAAAAAGTAGTAGAGGATCGAGACGAGTCGGAAGGTGGACAAACGCATTTTCGCTATTCGAAACGGCGCAGAGACTAGCGTTTCCAACGATTCGAGAACGCTCCTATCCCTGTCATCGAATTACATACGGCAGATGGGTAATTTCGAGGCGGTGGACATCGATCTTTCTCTCTCTCTCTCTCTCGAATCGAAATTCCAAGCGGCAAGTAGTCGATAAATTTTTTTCGACTTTTGAAGATAATGGTAAAAGGCGAGGAAAATTCGTATACGAATCATTTTTGGGTAAAAATTCACCATTAATTAAATTCGCGATTTAATTAATCGGATTGAAGCGCGAGAAGAAAGAAATAACGATAATAATTCGGAATCGGTCGATTAGGAAGCGTTATTCGGTGGAATATCGCGATATTAATAGCAGGGGATGGCGTTATCTTCGATTGTCCGATTAGCCCTCGTTTTATTCGATTATCCTCGTTGCACGGTTACACACAGGCCCGCCTCGATAATCCGTCCATCCTTGTATTTTACGTGTAATAACAGAAATGGCTGGCTAAATAACGGGATAACCGGATTAAACGTGCTAATTGCACAAGAGTTATCACGCGCCTACGCAATATTCAAACGGACGCGTGAGCTGATAACTCGAGACAAAAGTGGGGAAATACTTTGATATCAATCAAATTTTTCAAAGTTCGTTTTCTATTTCGGGATAGAAGATGGATAGGTTTGCTACAACGAAAAATTTAAGGCCTTCTAACTTTCTATTTTAGATATACTCAAAGTTTCTTCTTCCCGTGCAAGTGCTAATGTGGTTATTACTAATCAACTTTCTACTTCGGCGATATATTCTTTACAATCGATGAAAAAGTTGTTCGCATGGGCATCTTGTGAAAATATCTCGAAGGCTTGAAATAAGAAAACGCGTGAATTGAGTAAAAGCGCGAGACGATTGGAAATATGGAATGTGGCTCGAGCGAGGCTCAAGGATTTACCGGCGAACAAATCGAATCTGGTCCTGCTCCTCTCACTGTCCTCGAAGCCCTCAAGGTCGTCCTCGTAATCCTCGTAATCCTCCATCCCTCCCCTCCTCTCTTTCTCGCTCACATTCCTCGGCAATGCATTGCCAGTCGTCCTCTGACCTTGTCTCACTCTGGCCTGGTTATGGCTACTGAAGAGGACCGCCGGAGGCGGAGGCGTCGACAGCTGAGACCCCTGAAGACGCCTCTGAAGGTATCTGGCCAATATCGCGTGTACCGCGTCTGTCTCGGCGCCGCCTGTAAGACAGAAATCACGTTGCTCTGGTAATCGGGCTAACATTTTCCTCTTAAATATTATTATCAAATAATCCCTCTTCCTTCCCTTTTCGTGCCGCCTGTAAGATAAGAGATCGCGTTATTCCAACAATCAGGCCGATACTTTACTCTCTCTCTCTCTCTCTCTCCTTTCTCGGTTTTATTTCGCTTTCTTCCTCTTTTTTCCCCTCTCGTTGTGCCATATACGAGATAAAAAAGATCGTATTCTCCTCTTCTGTAGGTAATTAGGCCAAGGCTTCTTCTTTCACGAAATTTTCTTCTTCTTCTTCTTCTTCTTCTTCTTCATTTTCTCTCTTTCTCTCGAGCGTCTCGATTTGAAACGCGACGCGAAACGGCTCGCATCCAGAGTTATCCGTACATTCGTATGCATGAAACTTTCCTTCCTACGACTCGCTAAGAGTCCCTAAGAGAAACTGTAATACCTCGGCCTCTGTTCGCCTCCATTCTTCCCTTCTTTTTGAAGGAAACGCTTTGTGGCGGCTCGAGCCCCCCCTTTCTTCCAATCCTCGCCTACGTAATTCGAGTGAAAAATCGTTGGGTGTCGAGACGAGTAGATCCATATCGTAGATAAATTTTCTTTTCGTCGGATCGATTTCGGATATCCAGTCTCTCCCCAGCTTCGATCATCTTTCCCTCCTCTCGTCGTTTAACTCGTCGAAACAATAATGCACCTTCGCGTAATCTTACGTAAGCATTTCAGGCCGGAAAGGATCCGTCGTTCCAAGCGGAGCGTGGAAAATATCCGTAGATTTGAAAAGATTTCAAAGATTTTATCTTCGGCCAGTCGTCCATCGCTGAACCACTCGGTCGTCGCTTTAACGGATTGCACGCTCGTAGATGGAAATTTTAACGAAGCAGAAATACTTATTTCGGCGACGACTTACGAAAAAGATTGGAGAGGAAACAGGATGGAAAGCATGGGCGTAATGCGTAACCGCGTTCGCTCGTAAAGGTAAATGATATGCAACGGATCCACTCGAGGATCCAGGCAGGACACTCCATTAGAGAGCCCTCCGGAACGCGGGCATGCGTTTGACGCTCGACAACGTCCTCCAACCGTCAACGTCAACGTGTACGTGCGATGCGTGCGGATTAAAGGGTGAACCGGATACTCGATACACGCCACTCGGGGAAATGGTGAAAAACCAGTGCTCGATATCGGTGGTCGTCCAGATTCCTCTTGCATGGAAAAAAAAAAAAGAAAAAAAAAAGGAAAAGAGGGGAAAGGGGGGTCCGATCGATCGATTCGATTCGATTCGAACGAATCCGTCGATAAGGAAAAATGATGTAGTTATCTTCCCTCCTTTCTTTCCTTTTTTTCGATAAAGTTATAATTTTAGATCGTTTTATATTCGAGATAATTGTCCAATTACGATTCGTGACCTCGAACTTGGCGACATTGAATCGTGGGTAATGATATGTCGATGATATTCGATCGTAAATCGTTAAATTCCATAAATATTAATAACATGGAGAATTTGCAATTCTAAAGACGTTTAATATCCGAGCAAAAATATTTGCATAAAATTGTATCTTATAATTTATCGAACGTGTTCGAAAAAATTCGTCTTCCTCCTCGTTTGTTTTCGTATTCACGGAGGGAGGGGGAGGGGGGAAATATTTACGTCGAAAATGCAGGATTCGCGAAACGATTCCAACTAGAAATTATATCCCAACTACACGGACCGTTCTCTATTACGCGTTCCCTTTCGCTGAAATCGATTTTCGTCGAATATTTCCTTCGAATATTTATCTCGTTTAAAATATATCATTTTTTCGAGTTTAAGACAAATTTTCGTATTTGGAACAAGCTTCTTCGATCGAGGTCGGTAAAGTAAATTTTGCACTAGGGTGGAAGAAGCAACGTTATCGAACGAATAACCGCGGAAAATTTCCGATGCCAATTTCAATTGGTTTTGGTCGAGAATCCAAGTTGGAAAATTCGACGGTGAGGCGAAAACAAGTGCAATCAATTTGCAAAATTCATATCTTTGGATAACCTAAATCTCTCGTAGGAAGGAAATTTTAGGACGCGAGGCGTAAATTTGGGTGAAAATTAATCGTGTTAAGCGTCAATCAAGTAAAAAAGGATGCGTAAACGATGCGTTTAGGCTGATATGGAGAAATTTTCGTGCTCGTGATCGCGTGCTACCAATTCCAGTAACCCATCTACTATGCAAATGTCAAGTATCGTGGGACAAGATAGCTCAATATTGTCACTAATTTGCGTCTGCCTGCTCGGTGTTCTCGCTTGGAATCTTTTCCTCATCACGACCACCGTCTCGAGGCTATTATCGATCGAGGTAGTCAAAACGAGAACCAGCTTCAAAGACATCGTCTCGAATCATCTAAACGCCACCAGTGTCCTGTGCCAGAGTGGGCATCAATTTCTGGCCAATCGCCTTCCCGAGTGTAATTTTATCCCGTAAGCTCGCTCGTAACCGCGATTATTTCGATTCCCTACTTTTTTTTTTTTTTTTTTTTTTTTTTCCCCTCCATCTCCTCACGTATCACGAATATCATCGCGTTAAGAAAGAAGGAAATAATTAAGTCGGGTCGAATCGAATCGATTCGATTCGATTTTCGTTCGAGTTAAATTTCGTCCTCGGGAATACGTGCATTCCGAGGGGGGAGGAGGGGATCGAGCGATGCTTCGTCGTTATCCGCGATCGAGAATCAAAATTTGAAAATAATAATGATAATAATAATCAATAATTATTAATCGATGTATTCCTTTCTCTCAATTAATTATTAATTTCGAAGAGTGAAACGATTCCTGTGAAAGAAAAAAAAAAATATATATATATATATATATATCTGCGTTTCAGCGTACAGAGGGGTACGCGGATCGATTTTAACGTAGCGAAAAATTTGGAGAAGACGCGGAATTATATGGTGAAACGTTTGATCAAGATTATCGATTGCATCATTTGTAAGGGAAAAGGGAATCGTAATGATTCCGTATCATTGATGAAAATCATCGAGGCGGAGAATGAGAAAAATATGGATTCGGGCAACGATCCGATCAAATTGTTGAAAAGATCGAGCAAATCGTTGCTCGTGGACAAAGAAGGGGCGAACGAACGAAAGAACACAACGACAACGTCCGAGGAGGAGGAAGCTGTCGCGACGAGAAAAATGGAGAAAAAGGAGGAAACGAGGAACGCGAAGAAGAGGGGGAGGAAGCGTTTAGGCAGGGAGAGGAAGGAGGCGAATTTGGAGGTGAAAACGGTAGAATCGGAGGAGACGATGGTGGATCCATCGTTGGAGGAGAAGTTTTTGGTTTCGATTTTGGAAGAGAGCGGCGTGCTGAGGGCCAACTCGAAGGAACTTTTAAGCATTCAGATGAACGTGTTGAGAAAATCTCACCCATCTAAAGACCGTATCTCGGAGAAAGAGCAGGAGGACGACGAAAATCTCACGAAGGCCGATTCGAAGGAGAAAATTACCGATTCCCACCACGAGGAGAAGGAGAAGGATGAGGCGAGCAAGGAGGCGAGCAAGGAGGACGAAACGGTGGTGAAAATCGAAGCCACTTGTACGGACGTAACGCGTTCGAAGGATTTGGAGAACAACGATCCGAAGGAAAAGGAGGAGAAGGTTGCGTCGTCCCCAGACGTGAACACAGCGTTGAAGAACAGCAACGCGACCGAATCCACCATCTTCTTGAGTCGATCGTAAGTAAAATCGTTTCCCATCCCATCTATTTATCATTTCACAAGGAATGGAGGGAACCGCGCGCGACGATTTAACGCTTTCTAACGCTTTTCATTCTCGACTCGCTCGGTTTCCTCGGAAAATTAATCGCGGCAAGCCTGCCGTTAAGCGTTTCTAAGAAACGCTCGTTTATTACCACGATCGCTGCGCGTACGATCTCTGGCCTTTCGGAGTTGGGATCGCGCGCACAAAGGAAAAAGGAAAAAGGAAAAAGGAAAAAGGAAAAAGGGGCGAGAGATCGTAGGCGGAGAGAAGCAGGTGGAGAGAGTAAAAACGTGAAAATTGCGAAAATTGTGAAAATTGTGAAAAATTCAGTCCGACGACCAGTCACGGTAAACAAGAGGACGACTTGAACGCCATAATTCGACGGATGATAATGATGGAGTTGAAGAGGCACAGGAAGAAGGAGACGGTGTTGAAGAGGGCTCACTCGGACACGGAGAGCACGCTGGCGAGGAAGAAGCGAAGCGAGGACAGCAGGTACCGTCATTTGGATTTGGGCGCGGAAACGTTCGCAACTTCGATAAACACGCGGAATTGTTTCAGAACAGGTCTGTTCGGCGGCAAAGGCCAAACGTTTTTCCGAGATTTGCTGGAGCTCGAGGAAAGCCTTCGTAAGCGGAGCGACAACGAATCGGATTACCAATTGACCGACAAGGTCGAGATCGATCGGCCGATCGCGAAACTCGAGAATAGCGGCGAGCGAGAACAAAATCGGTCGAGGAACGATATCGACGTGACCACGATCGATCCTGCCCGCTACTCTCTAAACTCGATAGGAACCGCTTACAAGTCGGACTCGAATATCGAGCTCGAGAGGAAAGTGAACGCGTCTTGTCTCAAGGATGCGGAGGGAAAACGATCGATCAGGCACAGAAAGTACGTTGCTCCACCAATTATTTAACGACCATTCTCTATCCTTCCGTATAAAAATATATCCTGCGGAGGACGTTAAAAAATAATAACGAATTTAAACCAATCAATTTTCTTGTATATCCATCTTTCCAAGTATATAGATTGCATAGAGAAAGATTTAGACGTGTTTTGTTTCAAAGTTGAATCTAGGCTTTATTTGCTTTGGTAATTTCTCCGGTCCAATAGCGGGGGGAAAAAAAGAAAAGAGAAAATTTTGTTGAAAACGATTATTTGTACATTTTAGAGTTACCGTGATCAATCAGCAAAATCAGGCGAACAAATCGACACAGACAGAATACGTGTATGTAATTCGAGCAGTGAGAAGTTGCCCCCTTCGAAAGAAACGCGTCTCGATGCAGTTCCACATAAATCAACTAGCATCGAATTCCGACGCGATTTATTCGAAAACAGTTTTCGCGAGTCTGGATCTCTCGACATTCATCTTCCGGAAAGCTTCGGATAATCTCATCTACGAGAAGGGTAAAGGCAGTCGCAGCCCTAGCTACATACCCACCCCGGAGAGGCATCGATGGAAATACATAACGCCTAGTAAAAACAAGTGAAAACATCTCGCCAAACGAGAACGCACAGTTTCGTCTAAATATTTATACGTATAATTGAAATTTCATAATCCTCGAAATCGAAAAACGTTTAGAAATCTTTCGCAAATGTTTGTTCAACAAATAAAAAAAAAAAACGATGAATATTCAAAATATCCTCTTTTCTGGAACGCTGATATTCTTCAACAATTATCGCAATTAACCGAATTTCAAAACCGTTCAAAATCGTTCTATATCGAAACGATCTCACCTAATTTTTTTTCTAGTCGTTTTCGACCAATAACCTCGAATAAGAGAGAGAGAGAGACAAGGTAGGATAATATCGGAAAAGAAAGGTCTCGAGAAACGACCAGCTCTTGGAGATAAGTTCTCGAGGCAGCGAGTAAACGCTATTCGATCGTCTTTGATGTTTGGAGACAAGCTTTCGACTGTTTTCACCGGAGAAATGCGAGACGAGAGAGAGAGAGAGAGAGAGATTCATACCGCTAGTGCAAATATGGTCAGGATTCAAAGTAAACTCTTAAAAAGTACGTAGCGTACGTGCTGGGAGACTCGAGTAATTGTAAACAGTGGTTAAAGCTTGGCGCGGCTGTCGTGTCTCTCGTCGCCGATTGATCGTATCGCACGTTTCTTGCAAAAAGTTTATTCGATATGGAGAATAGAAAAATTTGGAATTACGAGGATCGAACGAATAATGGATGTTTAATTTAAGATGGCGTCCACCGAAACAAAAATTTGCCGAATTTTTTGCAGTTCTTCCTTCTCGTCGAACAAGGAAGGAAACAAATGAAACGGATGACACGACGAAACGAGCAACCCGTTGTTTCTTTTCCGCGAAATGATTGCTCAGCGAGAAATTGGGCGGATCCTGTTCGACCTCGCTTTCCTACGATGTTTCTTCGTTATTATATAACGATTTCTTCGATTGAAATTCCCGTTTTTTTTTTTTTTTTTTTCCTAGCTGCGGATCTTTATTATACATTCCATGATTGGGTATCGTTTGGATGAAATTTAACCGTGAAAATATTATAAATGGAATGTCGATAAATTGACTATATATTAACTTTCTCCTAATTGAGTTGTTTCTTGTTTCGAAGCATTGTTGTAAGCAACGAAATTACAATAACAAATGGATAATTTATAATTTATAAGATTTATAATTTATCTCTCCGTTTCTTAGAAATAACTCGCTTCGTATTGGGAGAAAGAAATTTTATTCCTGCCTCATTATCTTTTCGCAGTAAATCGGATGCAATAATATAAATATCGCGAAGAAAAATTTCCTTGTCTCTTATCCTTTTCAAATCTCCCGATTAAACGTAAAATATAATTGGAAATTGTTTTTTTATCTCGAATTAAATATCATTATATTTCGTATCCTCCGATTCTCACTCTCTGATCACTAAATCAACTCGATTAGTTTTTCCATAAATCTTACTTCATTCTCCGTTATCGACTCATTTCCATAAATTAAACCGAATCCACCGAATGCAGTTCGAAAAAGCTCGCCTCTTTCAACTTGGACGTATACGCGACGAACCTTCCTTCCAATCGAAATTAATGCTCTGCATTATCGACCGAGTGCATAAGAAGAATGCTCGAAAGTTACTTTTCGACGGAGATACGAGCATCGAATAAAAACGAACCTATCGTTCACGTCATCCACGATATACTTTAGTCCTCGAGCAAACGGGAATGAAAGTAATTCGATTATTCGACATCGCTGTTCGTCGTTAAAAATAAACTCTCTAAACAACGGATTGTCGCGAACGTCGTAGGTGATCGTAAAACGTTTCTCCTCGACTCTCTCGGACTCGGGGTAAAAAGGCTAAAAAGTGGCGCGGGGGATGAAAAAGGCGGGAAGGATAAGGAAGCGAAGGGGGAGGGTCTCTCATTCAAACGCAAATTACCGCCGACTCCATTTCCATTTTTACGAACAATGCACAATGAACCACGCCGGAAATAAGAACGAGCTTTCGCCCATTCGCGCGTATGTACCTACAACCCTCCCCACTTTCCCTTAACTCCTCTCTCTCTCTCTCTCTCTCTCTCTCCCTCCCCCTCTCCTCTCTGGCGATCACTTGCATTCCTCCTCGACTCCCGAGATTCCTCGCAAGCTCGTTTGCCAATGCGTTCGAAGAATAAACCGCTCCCCCCTTTTCGTTGCATTATTGCGCGCAAGAAGATAGAAAATGGAAATGTGAGCGAAGAGAAAGGAACGAAATTACTTTATATCTTATTTGTTTATTTTTTCCCACCACGTCGGAATACTTTCACATTTTTCACGCGGAAGAAAAGATAATTACTTTCCTTTGGAAATTGATAGAAACGTATGTTGGCAGATCTTCGATCTGAAATTCCGTCCACTCTCTGTTTTTCCAGAGGAGGAAAAAGAAATTCTCCGTCGGTGATGTCCACGAACAGGGCACTTTTCATCCAGATATTAATCGCAGTTAATGCTTATCCCTAAAAATTGCGTTCCCCCATAGACTCGTATCGTGGAGGGTGTTTGGCAATCTTCCGATCTTCTTTTCCTCGCGAAACGGGAAAGGGAAAGAAATCTGGTAACAGCTTCTTTCCATCTTCATCTCCGTCATTTTTCTTCCCTTTTCGAAACTCTCCTCGCTCCATTTCCCTCGTGCTCTTTCTTCTTTTTCTTGCTTCGAAATTTTCTACGTTTCGTAGAAATTCTCTTTAACTTTTCTAAAAATTGTAGATCCGTGTAAAGTTATATATATATAACTTAGTTAATATTTCACTTACGTTCGTCAAGCTTAGTTCAATTATTTCTCGAATATTTTCAAACACGGGTCTCGTTCCTAAACTTTTTATTTTTCCTATCCCAGCTGAGATAGCAACTTTTTCATTTTCCTCTCTCTTTGTACTCGTTACGTTTTAACTCGCGTGTTTCCTCTCCCCATTGTCGTTCCGTCTTTTTGCTCCGACTCTGCAGCTCCGAGCGAGAGTCAGAAAGGACACGTCTCCTTCTCTCCCAATGAAATTCGAACTTATCTCCTCTTTATTCTTCGCATTCGCGGATCGACACGCGATAAATAGGAAAGAATCACGATTTAGGCAAAGGATAATCGGATCGACGAAGAAAAAATCACGTTAATTGAAGAGAAATTTTTTTTCGAGGCGATAAAAAGAATCTTTCTATATGGATAAAACTGGAAAACTTAACAATTTTTCCAATTTTGACACAAAGTTTGATCGAGTTTTAAGGCAGAGATATCTCGGTGAAAATTTACAATTTAATTTCGCTCGTCGCAGTTTCTTTTAAAGAAGTAAAATTATCCTAAAAAAAGTTCAGGTCAAATGGAATGATCGCAAGAGCGATTTATTCAGAGAAAAAAAGAAAAAGAGATGGATTACGAAGATTACTGCTATTTAATTAAACGATGAAAAATATCCAACTCGATATGGGCCAAAAGCATCGTGCATCCTCTCGATCGCGTAGCAATTAAAAACGGTGTAAATCGTCGCTTTCAACGATCGCTTTTTTCCAACTCCGGTCACGATTTCGCGTAATACGCCAATCTTGGCAAGGCCGTTCGAGTCTGAACGAGAATCGTGTTTCCTAATTGGTAGTTCTTTTCTCTCTCTCCCTCTCTCTCTCTCGAGATAATTGGAGCCAGTCGAGAAGCGTCCTCCCCTAGAATCTCGAGAAAAGTTGGAACGAAAATGACGCAACGAGGCGAAACATCGATTTCTACGACGATCGAGCAAGGAAACGAACCAACTTGGATTCGAACGAAATATTATCGATTTTTACAAATCACGCACACCTTTCGAAAGAAGAACTCTCAACGATCCTGCGTCACGAAAAAGAGGAGAATCGAATCGTCGTAGCTTTCTTCCAGTCGGACGACGCGAGCCAAAAGTGTAACCATTTAACGAGCGCCCCGATTGCGAAATGTCGCGCGCTCTCAACGAGATCGAAGATGGTCGAGAGTCCCGCCTTTTCTCGCTCGCGATCCCAATTCAATCAAGGACGCGTCCTCGTTAATCAACCGCTAAGCCGATTACACATCGGATCGAACGTTTCTCTCGTCTAAAGTAAATTGGAACGCGATTACCCGTTCGTCATTTTTCTCGAGAGTGGCGTTAAAAAGAAAAGAAAGAGCGAGAAAATTTAAAAAAGAAAAGAAATTCGGGAACGAATTTCGCTTTATCATTTATCTTTGCCCGAGCAATCGAGCCTTTTTGCCCATCTCGGTGGACAGGAGTATCGTGTCGTGTACACGTTGTATACGTTGTATAATAGTTGGCAACCGTGATAAATTTTCAGTCACCGTTTTTTAACGCCTTTGACGCTTCATTTCTCTTACGCTCTCGAAAACTATCGCGAGCAAATTAGAATTATTGAGAAATTTCATTTCACTTTTAGATCGAAAGGGATCATAACGAGGATCAAAAGAAAAGGAAAAAGAGAAAAGGGAGTAGGCAGAAAATGAAAAGAGGCCGTGGCAATTATGTTGCAAAATTGGCCGACACGCGATTCCGCGACTAAGTGAGATAAGATTGGAGGCCGGATTGTGCCGTTTACGGTGGTCCGAACCTATCTCGAGATATGATTTACGAACGCTGTCCTCTCTGCCTTGCTCGAACGAGAGAGGAGAAGAAGAAAGGGCCCGCGATCCGGCATTGTCTGGCCGACGCATCGCGCCGCATTGTATGCAAATGCGGAGCGATATCTCGCCTTTCCCCCGACCGTCACGTTCCATTTCTTCGACGTTGACTCTTTGACGCGGTCAAAGAAGACACTCTTCCCGCGTTTATCGCGATATCCAAGGGGCTAAGCGAAGGAGAAAACTGATGTACGATTGTATGTATAGATGTAGAGAGAGAGAGAGAGAGAGAGAGAGAGCGAGAGCGAGAGAGAGCGAGAGCGAGAGAGAGCGAGAGCGAGAGCGAGAGCGAGAGCGAGAGCGAAAGAGAGCGAGAGCGAGAGCGAGACCGAGAGCGAGAGCGAGAGCGAGAGCGAGAGCGAGAGCGAGACCGAGAGCGAGAGCGAGACCGAGAGAGAGAGAGAGAGAGAGAGAGAGAGAGAGAGAGGAGAATAGGTAATTTTTATCGGAGGTTAATGGACGGGCGAACAAAATCGCAATCGGGGCGTTGGTTCGTCGGTAATCATTGGGATTGCGATTCGTTTGTTAAACGAATTTGGAAAGAGAATACCGATTGTTCGCCGCTGCTCACGTTAAATACGCCAGCTAATTACCAATTAAGCGGTGTACACAAAGCTCCGTGGCGCGCGACAGATGTTTCGTCCTATCCGTTCATTTACTCCGCATGCGCATAAATTGGGGGAATGCGTCCTTTTCGATCGATCGAAATTCGAAAGTAAAATTTAAAAGTACTCGAGGAAAGTGGCGACGGGGGTCGGGAGAGATAAGGAGTGCGTTTGGAATTTGGGGAATAATCGGACGTCTGGCGGATTCCGGACGATGTGAAGAATTTGGCGAATGTGAGGAGGGTCGGAAGATTCCGAGGATCTTTGCGATCCCGATGACCCCAGATATCTCTGGCCACGCTACGATCTTGAGGTTTCAGGGTTTCTAGAGTTTCCTCCGCGGTTATCGGATTTTGAGGGGTCTCGATAGAACAGGAGTTATCTTACGTCGGATTACGGAAACAGGTTGGAGGGAAGCGTATGTGAAGCGTTGTATCGCGCGTGCAAATCTTGTATACTCGTATACTCGAGTATACGAATAATACGGGGATTACAACCGCTATTAACCGGTAATTAAACGACGCTTTACGATAACAAAAAATATCGATTATTAGGATCGTAATAGCTCGTCCCGTTCCCTCGTATTATTAAATATCGGAGAGAAAAAACGAGAATTCGTTTATTATTCGGACTATAACTTTAACGACATCTATTAAATTATTTTATTGATCGCGTGGAATGTCGTTCTATTATTTCTACGATAAAATTTCACGAGGATTATGGTATTTGTCGATGTAACAATCGCGTCTTTTTTTTTTTTTTTTTTACCATTCCACGATATTTCCAAGCTTTGAAGAAAATTTATAATTATATCCGTATATATATAAATAGAAGATTGTATAAAATAGTTGATAACGTTATTGCTCGTTTAACGGACAAACTAATGCGGCGGTTAAACCGTTTCAAAGTAATACGATTATTCCATGTCTGGTGCCGAGACACAAAAGATACCCGCGCCGATTTTCATTTCAATGGAAGGATTATCGCGGTTCACCGTTAAATAAATAGGTAAATAGAAAAAGTTTGGAAAAAAACGATTTCCCGGTATCGAATCGAATCGATTATTTCTTTTCCATTCCCCTGTCTTTCGTTGTTCCCCGATCGAATTTATGAGAAAAAAAATGCTCGATATCGAATCTGCTTTATTATTTGGTATATCTTCTTAACCGTAATACGATTTCGCGGAACGAATCCTCCAAGATTATTTAGCTGGAAAATACGTCTTTTTCCGATTGAAAAATACGATTGTTCTACTCGGTTGGAAAAATCTTTGATATCGGCGAAAGAATTTTCTCCACGAGTTTATGCTCCGATCGATACATTCTCGAGGGAAGGAAATATTTTAACATTGGAAAGTTTGGATCCGACGATATCTTAAAAAATTCGAAAATCACTCGATATCAAAATTTAAGACACCTCGAGGAAACGGCGACATCGATAACCCGTTTAAAATTAAAATTCTCTCGCAAGAAGAAAATCTAGCGGGATCCAACCCCTAATATCCCCGCAACCTGGATGTTTTAAAAACGGAAGGAAAAGTTTGAAAAATGGGAGGAGGAGGAGGAGGAGGAGGAGGAGGAGGAAAAAAGAAGAGGCGCTTTGAGAGCGACAGGGTTGGTTTTTCCGCTTACGTGGCCGCGCTTAATTTGCCCTTTTTACCATCCCACCGTCTTGTAAAAGCCGGCACGGGAATCGGGAGTGAACTTTTCAATCTCGCCGCGGATTCTTCGCTTCCAATCTGCTCCCAATATCACCGGGTATTCGTCGACTGCTTTCGAGTTCCTCCCTTGAATTCCAAAGCCCCCCCTCCTGCCTCCCTTCACCCCCTCGATTTCGATGCGTCGAGTTTATCGAACGGATAGAGAATCTCGTCCCATATGCGCGTGTCTCTCCTTCCTCCTTCTTTCCATATTCCACCCATTCCATATATATGTATATATATATATATATATGCATGTATATACATCATATTCATTCATAAACATCGTGGAAAATCATCGCGGGAGGAACGATTATTTTTCTCCTTTCGACGCGAACAAAAGCGTCGTATTAGAAAAACTGGAAGAAGCTCGAATCTTTATTTAAATTATTTGTTTTTGTTGATCGAGATTTTGTGGATGGATATAATTGTAAATTCATTTATATCGAAAAGGGAGGGGACAAAAAAAGTTGGCAAAAGCGTGTGTCATCCCTCGTGATTTTTCGGCAGAGATATTTCGGAACGTTCGTTTCGAGCGGATTTATAGTTATGGCGTACGCGAAGGGGTGTGCCATCTCCTTTTTTCATCCTTTTTTCAATGCCACTGGCAAGGGAACGCGATTCAGGAAGGAAGAGAAATACGACGTTGGATTTTTTCTTTTTTCTTTCTTTTTTCTTTCTTTTTTCTTTCTTTTTCGCTTCTTACGCGTTCTCTTCGTAATAAGAGAAACGAGTCGATAAAGTGGGATAAACGATTGATTCGAAATGCGTGACTTTCTCTTCCTTTTTTTTTTTTTTTCTTCGCGTTACGAGAAGAATAAATTTTTTTCAAAATTAGACAGGTTTTCCTACGTATAGAAAATATATCATCTTACGCGATCTCGCTCGTACATCGAAGACAATTTTTTAAAATTACTTACGTGCATCTTCCGACGCGACAGAGGATGGAAGAGAAATTTATAAATATTCTTATCTAAAATACATAACGTATTCCAGAGACGTTTCTACCTGGTGGAAAATAGTTGTACGAAAGTTGAATCGATAACAAGATATCACACGGTTCGTTAAAAAACATCGGTAATATACGAACGATGAATAATTCAAAAGGCGAAGAAGAATAAGTTTCTAAAAAGGGCGGAGTATCGAGTAAAAATTTAGATTAGAAAATACGTACGTAACGTTGGAGCCGAGATTGGAGCCGAGATTAACGAACCTAATTTTTGGCAACGACGACACGGAGGGAACGCTGTAACTCTTGTTACGTGGCGAGAAGACACGCGGCTCTAATCAACTCGGCCTTCTTCCCGGCTCGATCCACCGTTTCATCGATCGACCGCCTACCTTTCCTTTTGATTTAAAATTCGCGCGTCGATTCAAAGAAAATTTCGGAAGCCAAGTAAGAAGATATCACTCACTTATGTTCTTTTCCCTGTACTGTTGCAACGCGTCGCTGGTGAGGCAAGCGAGGACCAACCACAGGACGAAGCCGCACCTTCTCATTTCGACCTGCAAGCAGATACATCGATTAATCGCAACTCGACGTTTTCCTCCACAGCGTTCAAAGATCTCGCGCGATCGATGACGTCGATCATCGTTTCGAACAAGAGGACTCGCCCATTATCCCCGACAATATCGTGAAACCGTGCTGGTATTCCCGCCCCGGCAAACAAAAGCGGCCAACAATTTGCGCACTGTGACTCCGCCAACAGATGTTAGTATTAACGCGAAATGGACGACGATCCTCCTGTCCTGTATAGGCGATCGATAATGGTTTCGCGCCATTCACCAGCGAGGAATCTCTCTCTCTCTCTCTGCCGCCACTTGGCCATGTCACGAATCAAAAGCGAGAATCGATTCGATCGTCGACGTCGATTGGCCCCTCGTTAACAGAGGAGATTGCGCCCTATCGCGTAGTAAAGTGGCCAATTTCTATCGTTCTATTCCAACTAGGGAGGGTGGGATCTCATCTTGGCTGAATTCTTCGCGGGTGTCTTGGAGCGCTCTCTCGAATCGAGTACCTCGGATCGGACGAGTTATCGCGCCAAGATGGATAGAGCGGTTTATCTCTCGCTTATTTCGCGGACGGACGAGCAAAGGTTGGATAGACGACTTTGTCAGCGCCGGCCTACGACATCTCTCACCGAGGCTTACCATCCCCGGAAAAATATCCCGGAACGAGACCATTCCATTTTTCGAAAGAAGGGGGAACCCTGTCCAAGCTCCTCCTCCGAGGAGTAAGAGGATTTGGAGAGAGGAGCGTCACCTCGGAGGATCCTCGAGCTACGTCGGATCGATACGGAGGGGGCTGGCCAGTATCTCGTTTCACGGTTACCCGGATCTAAAATATCTCTCTTGGAAGCTCGGCGAAACGATCGATCCAAGTTCGAAGGGATGTTTAAAATAATGGAATGTAAAATCGAGGAGATTCGTCGCGATCCAGTTGTCCGGGCGGATATAACATGGGTGTATTTTCGGGGAGGTTGGGATAGAGATACACGGAATGTAACAGCGAGCGTTCGTAGGTGTGTTGATATTGAGATTAATTCTTGATTATTTTTAGTTTTTTTAGTATTTTCAGTTTGTGAATTAGTTTTAGGATTATCTTTGATAGATCTTAGAATTAATTATGAATTGGGTCATCAAAAATTAAATATATTAAATTTAATTAATTAGATATATTATTAAAATATATAGTGATAATTATAATAATATTTTTTTATTTAATAATATTATTTTTAAAAAGAAATAATAATTTGAATTTAATTGTTAGAAATTTAATTACAATTATATTATTATTTAATTTATTTAATTTTAGTTGAATTGAATGAATTATTATTAACATATGAAATTTTAGTTTTAATGATTGTTCATATGGATTAGTAATATTAACTTTATGGATTTTTGGGTTAATTTTTTTTATCTTTAAATGATAATAGAATAAATTGTTTATTAATTAATTTATTATTAATAATATCTTTAATATTTGTATTTTTATCAATAAATTTTTTAGTATTTTATTTATTTTATGAATTAGGATTATTAATTATTTTTTATATAGTTGTAAAATGAGGATATCGAGAGAAAATCGATGATTAGCTGGATTTTATTTAATATTTTATACAATAGTTTTTTTCTTTACCAATATTATATATTATTTGTTATATTTATTGAATAAATAATAGATTTATAATAGATTTATATTAATAGAAATATTAAATTTTAATTTAAATTTTATATTATTTATTTATTTATTGATATCATTTTTAGTTAAAATTCCTATTTATATATTTCATGGATGATTATTAAAAGCTCATGTCGAGGCACCATATTATGGATCAATAATTTTAGCATCTATTATATTAAAATTAGGGGGATATGGTATATTACGTTTAATAATAATAATAAAAATTGAATTTATTTATTTTAGAAAAATTTTAATTGCAGTAAATTTATTTGGAGTATTAATTTTAAGATTAATATGTTTAATACAATATGATATAAAATCTATTATTGCAATTTCTTCAATTGTTCATATTTAATAATTATAAGAATATTAACATTTTTAAAATTAAGATTAATTGGAAGATATATAATAATAATTTCTCATGGATTAAAATCTTCTGGATTATTTTTTTTAAGTTAATGTAATTTATAAGCAAACTAATAGACGATTAATATTTGTAAATAAAGGAATGATTAATTTTATACCATCTTTAATATGATTTATATTATGTTCATCAAATATAGGATGTCTAGACGCACAAGGGTGGAAACTAACTCGTTCCACGATCTCTGGAAACCCGCAGCGTACGCTCCAAAGTATTGGACAATATCCTCGAACGAGTGAATTCCCTTGTCCTCCCCCCAAATTCTAAAAATCGTAAAAAAATTCTAAAAATTCTAAAAATTCTAAAAACCGAAGATGGAGACGATTACAGTCCCGTTAAGGCTTGGAAATTGGGATTGTCGGGATTATCGAAACGGATGGTGGCTCTTTTCCGCGCGTACCTTCATTTCTCAAACGTCCTCGCGAGAGGGGGATTCGGTCGAGGCGGAATTCTCGGAAGGAAAAATGAGGAGGCGGGAGGAGAATGGAAGGATTTGCGAGGGAATTTCCGGCGGAGTCGCGGCCACATCCGACCGAGTGATAATTAGGGCTGTTCGTCACGGAACGGAGAAGGGCAAGGTTGCCGCAAGAAAAGCCGGCGATCGAGCAAACTTGCTTCCCTAAGTAGCTTCCCCGGAGATTAAACCGGTGCGGCTCCGTTCACCGCCGACAAATTCACTTCCATCCAAAACTTTCCAAACTTTGTTAACGATATTTGCGATCGTTTTCGGATATCCTATCCACCTCGAAAGTGGTAGTTCTTCGTGGAAGAAACGCGTCGCTCTTCTCGAAATCATCCAGGCAACCGGAGGTGGTCGCGTTGATCGTCGATACGATTAAGATGCGAGGCATTGTGCCCAACTTGCCCGCCATTCCGAATTAACCTCGCCACTAATGAAATCATTCCGCAAACTTTCGGCCTTTGGCGGCTACGTTTCGGTAAACTTTGCTAATCGCGTTATACGGCGCGAGTATTCCGGCCGCGTCTCGTAAACGCTTGCAAGACGTTTCCTTTCCATTTTCCATTATTCCATTCCTTATTACTCCGAACTCGCCCGCTCCCGATGCGTAAAATACTCGATTGTATTTCAAACTTTGTAAGCCCGGACTCGAGGGAAATTACTCGAAAACCGAAGAATTTCGAGATCCACCATCGACCGAACGAGGCTCTCGGCCTTCGAGAAAGATTCTCGAAGAGAGGGAAGAAGTTAATCCGGGTGTATCGCGAGGTCGGGAATAAACAGAAACAAGTTTGCAGGGACGGTAGGAACGATAGCTGGGAGATTATTAATGGCGAGCAACTCTCGTCTCATCCCGATTCTCGGCTCGGGGGAAGAGAATTAAAGAGAGCGGGGGATAAAGCCGGAAGAAGATGAAGGTTCAACCCCGGAATCACCGAGATGAACCACCTGAACGTTGCGTCTGCTTCGTTTTCCGCGGTATGTTTCCAGTCTTGATATTACTTCGCCGCTCTTATTGCTATCGCGTCCCGCCCTCCTCGTCTCCCTTATTGTGACCTCGCACGCGGAAAGTAATAAACCGACACCCATCTCCCCCTCGACCCTCCACGAACTCTCCACTAATCGTATTCCACCTTACTTTTAATCGATGCTTTGCCTACGGATTTAATTAATTAATTAATTAATTAATGGTATACGATTTATTAACTCTCGCCAAGATTCTCTTCCCAAGAATTTATTTACTTTGTTCCACTGGAAAGTGATAGTTGGGTCGCTGTTTCTTAATAGTGGGAAGATCATCTGGAAAAATAGAGGATGATAGCGTCCCGATTTGTTCGAGATGGCCGAAAGAGGCCGCGTGTAAGGGAGGGGTAATGGCGAAAGAGGGGCGAAAGAAGCGGAAAACGGGTTGAACGTGGCCGATATTTTATCCATTTTCCGTTTCCCTTCGCAAATAGGCCGCGAACGGGGGTGAACGTGTTCGTGGCGAGATTGGAACGTGACGGGCGAGGAAACAAGGTAATACCGAACGCGTATTTTTGTTCTCGTCGATCGAGAAGGGAGGAGAAATCTCGCGTATCGAGAGTTCTCGAAGATCCATCCAATGTTTCCCAAGGAATCTGCATATATATAATACACGCTTCGAGTTTTTCTTTCCCGTCCGCTTTGGTGGAAACCGTTCCTTCGCGAAACTATCGATCCCTGGTAGGCGGTCCCTTTCCCCCAGTTTTGATAATTATCCCGATTCCGAATTATTTTAATCGAATCGCATCCAATTATCCCGGCCTCTGTCGATCAGGAATAATTGCTCGTGAAAACGTTCGCTCGATTTCCGATCCGCGCAACTGTCGGGACTCGATATTTTCCAATCCCGGATATTAAATCCAGGGGCTGTCGTTCGTCGGCTGGCCGGCTTATTAATATTTTACGAAAGGAGACAAGATGATGAATTAAACCGCCTCCGATTAATTTAAATCGTATTTGAAATTTCATTACGCCCCCCTCCTGTTTAATATCTCATTACCGATCTATGCCGTTTTAGACAGGTGTCGCTCATTTTCCAAACGCGACGTTAACTACCGAAATCAGGGGGAAATGCTTTAATTCGACGAATTCGCTTCGACGATATGAAAAGGGCGAACAAAAGCGATCGACGCGCGAAAGAAAAGTTTCGCCTCGCCCATTAAAAGGCGCGAATTCATGGTGTACGAGCCGATCTCGTTTCTGCCTTCGGTGAAATTTTAATCGACGTAACATGCGAAGCCACTTCGTAAAGCGAGTGGAGCTGGCTTGCGAGTCACGCGCGCGGAAACGATTATATTCGAGCTCGGTTTTCGCGCCTACCTCGAAACAATTAACCGCGACGAGAATAAACTTTCAACTCTAAAAAAAAGATCTCTGTTGATTTTACGTGGGAAGGATCGAAGAATCTTGTCGAT